TAGTCGATTTTCACAAGCTACTCTTGGCGAATTTTTCACCAGCAAAATCATTCGCCATAGACAGGAACAGGTGGTAATCATTTGGTGCCCGGTCCGGACTATAAGGTGGATGCATAAGAACCTCCCAACCAAGCTCCCGGAGCTTCTGGCGAGTCACTATCGGTGTGTGTGATCTGGCGTTGTCCTGATGGAACACAATTCCTTTCCTATTGGCCAAAGCTGGTCGCTTCTGGGCGATTGATTCCTTCAGACGGTCCAATTGTTGACAGTACAAGTCCGAATTAAGAGTTTGGCCGTAGGGGAGCAGCTCATAGTGGATGATTCCCTGCCAATCCCACCAAACGCACAGCAAAACCTTCCTGACCGTCAATCCTGATTTGGCCACCATTTGCGCCGGCTCACCGCGTTTCGACCACGACCGTTTTCGCTTGACGCTGTCGTAAGTGACCCACTTTTCATCACCAGTCACCATCCGCTGCAGAAATGGGTCAATTTTGTTGCGATTCAGCAGCGATTCGCAGATGGAAATTCGGTCCATGAGGTTTTTTTGCGTTAACTCGTATGGCATCCATACATCGAGCTTCTTTTTGTATCCAGCCTTATTCAAATGGTTCCAAACAGTTTTTTGTGCAATGTTTAGCTCCTGGGCAATCGAAACAGTGCTTACATGATGGTCGGACTTGACGATTTCCATTATTTTATCGACATTTTCGACAATTGGCCTTCCAGAACGTGGTGCATCTTTGACATCAAAAGTACCGGAACGGAATCGACGAAACCAAAATTGCGCGTGATTGGCTGTTACAGTACCATGACTATAAACACTATTCACATTTTCAGCCGCCTGGCTTGCGTTTTCGCCTTTATCGAGGAAAAGCTGTAAAATATGGCGTATTTTCTCTTTGCTGGTGTCCATTTTTGACGCGTGCTCAAGCAATACTGAGTCAAACAATCACAAAACTATCTGAGAAGTTTTTTAGTACGAAATCTTATCTTTCTAACGCCATCTAGCATAAACCGATCGCACTAATACAACGCGAGATACACATTACTAAAGCCATCTATTGGAAAAATAATGGATTTCTTTTTACTACACCTTATAT